TTTCTGGATCGCTTCCGAATTTGAAATGCGTTGTTCGTAGATCATCAACATTACTTTGACGCAGCATTGTTCTTGCTTGCAGTAGAGGGCGCTGCATTGCTTCTTTGTCTTGAAATGTTTTAGAATACAAACTAGTTGCAAACAAATTATCACTCAAGTATTGAGGTGCAAAATCCTGTCAATAAAAGATAGAATACTGCTATTATTATCAATATTATTAATTAAAAAACTGCAAGCACTAGTCTTGTATAAAGTAGTGACCAATTTTAACCAACATACATGTAGGATATGCTAGTCACGGTCAGTTCTGATGGCCCTTTCCCATAATAGTGTCTATCGTGTGTCATAAAAATTTTTTACGGTTTCCATCACATGACTAATTTCAATGACGATGACTACTCAATCGCTGTCTATGTAATTATGTCTAAAATAATATTTTGGTGAGATGTGGTCATCTCTATGTGGTTATATTTAAACAAAAACATTTTCAAAACCACAAGATATTGCTGCTTTAATGTGCAAATAATATTATTACTGATTAGGATAACAAAAAATGAATTGTCGATTGAAATAGCTCCACTGTTTTTGTAGAGTCTTCTTTAAAACAAAGTTTAACATTCTGTATGATGATTCTGTATAGTTGCCATGGATGAAGATGTAATTGTTGATGGACGAACAACAGACAATTACCAGTATGAACAGCTACTATGTTCTAAGCATGTTTTGTGACATTTTCTAACATGCACTAATTACTAAGACAGAATTAATCTATTATCACTGATCAAGTCTTGTCTCTGAATACACTGTATTTGATGTGTACTTACCGGTATATTGACAGTGGCATCTGGTTTATGCACAAATGGCTAGAAGCAAGAATTATAAAAAAAAAAAACATTAAAAAATATATAATATAAGTATATAAATCAATACATATAGATATCATTGTTTATATATTGGGACATTACATTACATTATCACATGATACAGATGGTATTACTCTCGTGCATTCATGATTCTGCATTACATTTTGTAGTTAGATTTGGTAATACAGTAAGCTGGGGGTTAGGTTTGGACAAACTGATGTACTGTAGTAGAGTAAATATTCACTCTGTTTAATTTTAGTGGATTTGATGTTGTGGATCGGTATTCAATGGGTTTTACTAAAGTAGAGATGCAGTTTACCTGACAGGTATTTTAATTAGTTAATTAGGAAACCAAGATGACCTCCCTTGTCCACAAAACTATATATTTTCGGAAAGCTTATTGTATGAATTTTAAAATTTTGTTAGTATTTTTTTTTATGTGCACTGAAGTTTGAAATATGCACAAAAGTTATTTAAAAAAAAAAAAGCTTCTAAACCATGCTTCTGTTTCCTGTCAAAATTGGTTTACGGGTACATCTGTTTAGTATGAAGAAAGTGTCGTCTTGAAAACTGTTTACCAGTTGTCAATTTTGCAGGGCAGCAGCTCAAATTTCACTAATTCAAGTTTATGCATAAATTAACACCCAGGCTAGTTGTCTGTACGATTGTTGTAACACTGTTCAACCAAAAACAATGCCCCATCCGCTCAAAGTGTATAGGAGCCAATTTTTTTTTTAAGTTCTGGGATGTGCACTAAAAAGAAGCTGAGATAATTGCTAATTTGCATAACAATTCACTCAGTAACAAGTTTGCTAATGCTCATAATTAAAATGGCTGTAACAGTTCCAAATTTAAATGTATTATCGTTTTGTTAAAAGTTAAATATAGTGCATAATATGGAGATCCCGTCATTTCTTTTTTTCACCATGTTTCTTTTCTATTATTTATGTACAGCCTTGCTAAATCTTGCTAAGCATTCAAAAGAGATAATTTTGCACCTGTTATCTATATTTTAAAATCGTCTTTTGAGTATATGTTCCATTATTCACAATTCTACAAAATTTTAAATAGCAAAAACAAAAAAATTCACTCCCAAGTGCCCACGAACCTGCATCTCTACCTTAAATCACAAAGAAACCATTACATTGATTGTATTGTTAAATTAGTTATGTTAATGTTTGTGGTGTTTTTTAATTTAGTGCCTTCCAGCAAAATAAGCAGAATAAATGAAAACAAGCCATGCATGGCACAGTTCCCGTTAGTTATCAAATTTAAGATATAAAGTTTATAGTAATATATAGCTGGAATATAAACATGTCAGGAATATGATGATTGTTTAACATTTAAATGATTGACATTTGTATTTCTGATCGTCAAATGAGTATTGAGAGATATTGCTCTGGAACAGCATTAATTAAAACAAAATCAGCCATTATGAATATATGTATAATGAATATATGAAATTTGAACATAGTCAGTCAAAGCATGTCAGAGATATGGCTCTAGAAGCCCATTC